CCCCCACGGACCTCCGAAGCTCCACATATCCTTGGAAGGAGTAGCGAGCTTCCTAAACAGAAGCTTTTGGCGCTCCACGCGGATTCCCCCACCAAAGGCCGCGCCAGAAGCGCCATCAATGAATTCCAGCACCGATCTGAGAACCCCGCGCAAAGCTTTTAAATATTCGCAATTAATTAATACGGCATAACTTGTACAGTTGCTCTGATTCGAATGCGGCGACCTGGTCACATGTTCCTCCCCTTCCCTTCCACTCCCCCTCCACCACTGTTCTTGTTCCCCCACCTCCTCTCCCTCTTTCCTCTCATCGTCCCTCCCTCTCCTTCTTGAAAAGGGGGGGAATGCAGAAATTGCCTTCGTCATTGGCGTCGTCGTCCTCCCATTTCCTCCTCCTCCTCCTCCGCCTCCTCCTCCCTGGGGTGGAGGAGGAGGAGGAGTAGGAGGGGCAGGAGGAGGAGGAGGAGGAGCAGAATGAGGAGGACAAGCAGCAGGACGACGACCACGACTTCCTGCATCAAAACCAGCCAACTCTTCCTGGAAAGTGCGCCGCATGGAATGTCGTGGCGGCTCCCGCCGTGGCGACGAGGGCGCCCCCTGGAGGCCGAAAGGCGCTTCAAAAACGTCCTAAGACCTCGACCCTCGACGACAACACTGAGGACGAAGACAGCGACGAGGCCGATGACGATGACGCCGAGGACGCCGAGAACGACGACGACGACGACGACGACGACGACGACGACGGAGAAGAGGACGACGGCGCAAAGGCGAGGACGCCGATGACGACGACGCCGCCGTCGCTGCCGCCGTCGCCGACAATGACGACGACGGCGACGGCGGCGACGACGGCGGCGGCTGCGGCGACGACGACGCCAAGGGCGACGATGATGGCGGCGGCGCAGAGCGCGCGGGCCTGCAGGCCGGAGGGCAGCCCAGGCCCTGGGACGCCCCTCGTGAGCATCCTTTCGCCAACCCCCATACCGTACATACCCATGGGCGTGGCCTGGGCCCACTGGCCGATGGACCCCCCAGGACGGCGATGTGGGCCGTCTCCTCCGGGCTTCGGGGGGCATGTCCCTACCTGGAGTGGTGAAAATGATCGGGTCTGGATGGGGATGCGAACGGGGACCCAGACCCCTCGAAGCGTGACTTCTTCGCAAGGTCGACCCCCAGAGGTCTGGCCCCCTTTCCCCGGGACCGGTTCTTCATCCTGAGCCGTTTCTGCACGGTCCCTGGGCCCGGCAAGGTCCCCTGGAGGCCGAAACTAGCGAAAAGCATCCAGACGTCATTCTTGCTCACCATCGCGAGGGAGTCTGGGGATCGGGGTCGGCGAAACGATACCGACCTCGGGCCAGCCGCGGGCCGGGGGGTTGCAGCTCGTTTGTGCCCCCTCCTTGGGGGGGTGCCTTGCCCTGCGCGCCGGGCTCCACTTGGTAATCGGGGGTGCGACAGGTATGAGGGGCAACGATAGGGGGGAAAGGAATAGGGGGGGAAAACATCGACCTGGAATCGGCGATACATCGCCGATAGGTCGGCGATAGGCCTCCGATAGTGAATCCGCACCTTCCTGGGCAGGTTGAGGCTATCGGGCCCCTATCGGCGATCACTGGGCGATTGGGGGTCACTGCATCCCCCCCTATGCCTATCCCCCCCTATCGTTGCCCCTGAAGGTACCCCTGGCCCAATTTAGGCCAGGGGTACCTTCTAGCAACCCGGATGGCCCAGGGCTCCAAAATTACCTTGAAGGTGCCCCCAGCATGTCGCTCAATTCTGGAGCCCCTGGGGCCCTCTGGACCTCGTGAGGGGTGCTCTGGAGGCCGCGGGGGCCTCCTTGGAAATCCTGGACGCGCCGTGGGCCGGGAGCACTTCGAGCAACATCCGAAGTGAGGCTGCGCAGAGGCGGACCACCCAGGAGGTCCCGGTCGGCTTTCAACGGCCCTCCGAATGCAGTCAAAACCGATAGTAAGGATGCGCACTACGAACGTAGGCCCCTTGAACGCCCATGCCGAAGCTCTTCGAGCGGGGCTGGCCATCGAAAGTGGTTGAGGATGGACCGAAGGTGGCCGAAGAGGCAAGGCTGCAAAGGGTACCCTTAGGAAGTCGATCATCTGAGATATCAGCTTTGACTGTAGTCCGGGTCAGCTTTCATCGGCCCTCCAAGTAGTCAGTGGCGATCCCGACATCCCAACCCGGGGGCGCCGCCAGTCCGCACCAGGGTGCCGAGACTGCCCCAGACTGGGCCAGCCAGAACTACATCGGGCAGGTGCCTATGCTGAGGGGCATCGTTAAGGTTATGCTGCTCCCATCGTACTTAGGACCGCATCCCAGAAATAATTTCGAGCACCCAGAAAAGTGTCGAAAGAGTGTCGAAAGAGTGTCGAAGCAGTGTCGGACGAGTGTCTCCCAGGGCCCGACACGTGCGATCCCTCGAGTTTTGGGGTACGTTTCTGGCGCTCGAAATTATTCCTGGTGATCAAGACGAAAGTAGGCTGGAACATCAGGTGGGGGGGGGGGACATTGGGCTGGAATTCGCGTTGCATCGCCGTTAGATCGGCGACAGGCGCCCGACAGCGAACCCGCACGCTCCTGGGCGGGGTGGGGCGATCGGGCACCCCTCGGCGACGACTGGGCGAGTGGCGGTCGATGCCTCCCCCCTGAGCGCACAGACCCATGCAGCTGCCCATCGGCATCCGGGCCATCACTCGGCTCTCCGGCATCCGCTCGGGACCATCCGGGCGACCCCCGGACGTCCTCGGCGAGGCGCGGCTGCTGCTGGAGCGCACCCCGAGGCCGGAGAACCGCGGAGGACCGACGAACACGCAGAAGGTTTCGAGACTCGCACATGGAACTTCCCCAGGAGGTCCAGACTCCCCAGAGGTCTATACCCGCGACCACTCTTTCATAATGGGTAATTGCTTGACGGCCCTGGGGCCCCGCGAGAGCCCCTGGAGGTCTAAAACCTCCGAAAACCTCCAGTGGAGATATTCTTCACAGCGAAAGGAGGTGAGGGCTGATGGGACCAGAATCATGTCATGACAGGGCTGGCTCAGGAGACTGTCAGACTTTCCAGAGTATCTAGCGGCCGCGGTTCCTGCAGCCCCTGTGGAACGTCAGGAAATCTAGGAAATCAAACTCAAATTTTGGAACGTACCATTCCAATGCTGCGTCGATCCCGCCCTGACCCTGTCCCCCGACGCGCGCAGAGACCGCAAAGCCTCACCCCTCGAGGAACGCACGGTTCCCCCGGGGCGTGGCCGGCCCGCCTCTGCACCGGCGCGCTGGGCTCCGGCACGGCGCAGACGTGCAGGGCGGCGCGGGCGGCGTGGAGGCGGCGGGGGCCGCCTGTGGACGCGCGGAGGCGCGCACGAAGGGGCGATGGGTTCCTCAGCCTCTGCTTCGCCTCGGGGAGGAGGGGCCCTCGTCCTCCGCGCTTGAGGACGGAGAGCCTCGTCGTCCACTTCCTCCTCCACCTCGCCCTCTTCCTGCTCCTTCTCCTCCTCGTCCGCATCCTCCTCCTCGAGGGCGAGGATCGAGAGGAGGGAAGGGAGGCGGAAGAGAAGGAGGAGCAGGGGGAGGAGGAGAAGGAGCAAGACGAGGTTTTCTCCTCCTTCCAGTTGTCCTGTTGCATCCGTTGTCCTGATGCATAACTCACTGTAGCACCACCATGACGGCCCTGGCATTTCGCATCAGACTGCCCCACCCATTATGACTAGAACCACACGAACGGGCGCTTCGCGTGCGCTTGGCTTCTAGCGCATACCATGGCATTGTTAGCTGTGCGTGCTTTTCGGACCGGCTCATTCCTTGCCTTGCCTGACCTCGTCCTCCAATATACATCATACGTCCTTCCTCGTTAACCCTCCAGTCTTTCTCGGTTGTCCTCGCTTTTCGTTTCTCGTTCATATAGACAGCCTTCTCTTGCTTGGGATTATGAAGGGCCTTCGAGCTGTTCAGGACCGTCGTGGGGAGATATTGAAGATGAAGTGGGCTGACTTGGAGTGTAGGGGTCTCTTGGGGATCTTCCTCTTCGGGCTGCCTTGAAGGCCTTGAGGCCCGCTTGGGGCCCTCGTGAGCTTTTCTTCGAAGTTGTGGGGCCGTATCGAGCCTCGGGGCCATGTGAAGCTCTCCCGAAGCCAGGAGGGGCGTGAGATTTACTGAAAATGGAGTCACCTGAATGGCTCTCTGGGTTCTTTTCGGGGGGCCTTTTTGGAGCTCCACTGGGGCATCTTGTGGCGCCTGGGGGCCGCCTTGGAACATCTTGGAGCGTCTTGGGCCACCACGGAGCCATCTTGGCGGCCAGCGGGCGTCCTCCTGAACCAGCTCAGAACCCTCGTCAGGCCGAAAGAGTCAACCAAAGACCCCAAGGCGGATCCTGGAGCTCAGGGGGGCTAGTTGGGTTGCGACGGGGGAGTTTGGGAAAAGTGGGCCACCCCAGGTCCAGAAACCTGGTCGTTGGTGCACAGAGCAAGGAGGAATCATAGCACACTGGTTGATGCACGAATGGACGAACTGAACACGTGGCGGGGGGTTACGCCGCACTCGCAAAGACATACACTGCGTATCCCGCATGGGAAAGGCGAGTAACGCGAGGAGGAGGAACCGGAGGAGGGAGGAGGGATGTGAGGGGAGTAAGGCGGGAATAAGTGGAAGGAACGGGGAAGAAGGGGCAAAAGGCGCTGGACGTTCCAGCGAAACCCCTTGATCCACGGGGGGCGGCAAAATCGAGATGGTGACTCCAAACCCCCCATCGTTGCCGTCCTTCTCCACTTCCGTTTCATCTCCTGTTCCTCCTGCTCCTTATCGTCCCCCTCCTTTTTCACCCTGCTCAGAAAGGCCCGAAAAGAAAGCCTGATTCCACGCAACATGGGGTGACGAATAAAACTATACAACAAGGGCAAAACATGTGCAGCGGAGCCCGCTCAAGAAACTTTCATTTCCCCAACTAAATTCAGCACCTCTCGACCTCACAACCCTCGTCTTGCTCCCCTCTCTTTTATCGGAGGGGGCGGCCGGTCGCCGTTCGACACGCCACACACGCACAACGAGGAAAACCTGACTCCTTAGGTCCGAGAAGCGAACATTGACGAGGTATCCTGGTACAGACGCATCGCTTGGCGCATACGGGCATGGTCAGTACTCCAAGCGTGCGCGCACAAGGCGTGGCGAAACCCCTCGCCGTCCCTAGAGTGAACAGAGTGAGCAACAGGACATGACATTGATATTTTCCGACATCACTCTGGCGTGCGCTTGTCTGGTCGATTGATTGCCCACGGGTGCGAGCGCAATGAGCGATCGCCTCCGCGGTGAACTTATAAGAAATTGCACTGGCGGGGACTCGCGCCAGTGATAGAATCAACTCGCGCGCACTTTTTTCTGGTCGGTTGCCCAAGAATGTGCACGCAAGGTAAACTGGCAATTGCTCCAATCATATAAATCAAACTTCAAGGTTCGCGTGCGCATGGACCTATGACTCTTCCGCCCCGTGCCCACATTCATAGATGGAAGACGGCTCCTCCTCAACCCCCACCCCCCTCGCGCTCCGCCTGACGGGGATCCCCCCGTATGGCCAGCTCCCAGCCGCGCGCAAAGCAAAAATCAGGCCCTGTCTTGCGCCAGCGCCTGCGTGATGTGCGGTACCTCGCTGATGCAGTCGTCGCTGCTTGACTCTGTATTGCGCCAGCCCGCGGACGCAAAGTGGACGCAAGCTAGCTCCGCGGAACGGGACTCAACTGAACGACTCCGCTAGTTCGCTGAGCGCCGCGTTGAAACAAAACTTACACGGTGCAGTGGCCTCCTCTTCCCCTCAATCCCCAACCAACACAATCCTCGCGCTCCCCCTGACGGGGATCCCCCCCCCTATGGCCAGCTAACTCCCGCACGCAAAACGAAAACCATGTCTGTCCTGCGCCCACGCCTGCGTGACGTGCGCCAAATCGCTGCTGCAGCCGTCGATGTTTGACTCTGCATTGCGCCTACTCGCGTGTGACTGCACGCCTCGCGGAGTGCCCGCCCACGAGGGGCAGATTGGCGAAGGGCTGCCTGCAGAGGTTCTTGAAGGCCAGCCCGCAGAGGCGGCGCTCCAGCATGGTGACGGTGCGGTTCCGCTCGGTGCGCACCAACCTTTGGACGTGGCTTGTGATCTGCGCCTGCCTTTGGCGCATGGCCCGGGCTTCCCAGCCGACGTCGCTGAATTCTGTCAGTAGCAGGATCATGTCAGGAGTGCCGTCGACGCGGGCCCGCACCATCGGGGATGGGGTGCGGTCCTGCCGCTCTCGGCCGCGAGCCATGCGGTGGCGGTCCCGGTCCTCCATCTCCTTGGACGTACCCGAGGCTTGGTCCTCTTCCTCCTCCTCCTCCTCCTCATCCACCAGCTCTGCCCCGTCGACGGCATAGCACACGAGATCAGCGCCCATCAAGCCCGTGTCGATGCCCACTCGAGCTAGAGGTCGGAATTCCATCCCGCACAGGTTTGTCATGCCCTGGTTCGCCGCAACAGCCATACAGAAGCGGAGCTGGGCGGGGAGACCGCGGGCGTTGAGCCAGAATTTCTTGAGCCAAAATGGCTGCGGAGGCCACTGTGGGGAGCTCTTTTGGGCCTCTTTGGGGCGTTTTGGGGGGAACCTCCTGAGGCTTTCTGGGGGTCTCCTGGGGCGAGGATCTCCGTTCTCGGCTCATGCTCCCGATCCTGAGCCGCATTTCTGGCTCTCTCGGGTCGTCTTGGACGTCCCTTCGGCCATTTTGGAACCGGCTTGGGGCGCTTTTGACACCGTGCCCGGGTTGTGGGGTAGAGGCCTGTTGAAAGATCGCTCGGATATCGTGGAAGCCTCTCGGGGGCCTCTTGGAGGCAGTTTTGGAAGCCTCTTGGGGGGCGTTGGGAGGCCTCTTGGAGCTTCTTTTTGGGCCTCTTGCGGGCCTCGTGGGGCCACTGGGGACCCTCTTGGGCTCTTCTGGGGGCCTCTTGGCGCCTCCAAGTATGAACTTATCAAAGCCCCCGAAGTCTTTGATGGCAATAAGAATGAGAAGCCAAAATAACATCTGATGATATCTTCACACCGCTGGCGCTTTCTATCAACAACACCAACAACAACAACAGCAGTATCAACAACACCAATAACAACACCAACACAAACAACAACAGCAACAACAACAACAACAACAGCAACAAAAACAACACCACCACCATCAAAAACAACAACAACAACACTCATTTTAAGACTGTTCGCCCTTATATGCTCGAGTGTCCAATTAAGCGTATTTCCAAAACCCTCGATGCCCGCCCTCTTCGTCTTCGATCGAACCCCTTTTGGGGGGTATACCTTTCTTCCCTGCAGGCCGGGCCCCCGCAAGCGGCGGGGCGGCCGCGGACCGTCGGCCTGGCCAGCGGCAGCGCTGATCGGCGGGGTGGCCGCGGACCGTCGACCCGACCCCAAGAGGGGCGGACAGGGGACCGACCACGACGACGACGACGAGGACGACGACGACGACGACGACGTCGAAGGCGACGGCGACGACGACGACGACGACGGCGGCGACGAGCGAAAGCGAGAGAGAACGACAGCAGGGCCACGAAGGACACGAACTAGGCCACGAAGCGCGACAGCGGGGACACGAAGGGAATGCGTATGGGGCCACTAAGAGCGCGAACGAGCGGGGCCACGAAGTGCAGATAATGCGGGGCCACAGAGGGCAACGATGGGGCCATTGAGAGTAGCAACTGGGCCACATAGGACAGTGAGGGGGACATAAGTTGCGACAGCGGGGCCACGAAGGGCACGCACATGCGGCCACAACGGGCGCGACTCCTGGGTGCCTGGGTGTCGGGAGCGCGGCGCTTGCGCAAATTGCAGGAAATTCTAACGCAATGCCATTCTTCAGTAAGTGGCAAGCAAGTCTCCAGAGAGAGCGCGACTCCAGAGCGCCGGGAGAGCGATTCCTGAATAAATTGAAAGGCAGTCCCAAGCAATAGCGCGATTCCTGAATAAAATGCGAGGATGTCTCGGGCGGGAGGGGGGGTCCTGGCTCAAGTGTAAGGAAGTCTCAAGCGGGAGTTGTTGTAACCCGGGAGCCAGGGGCCCAGTTTGAGCATCAAGCCTTTCCTGTAAAAAAAACAAGGTGTGAGCGTCGAGGGGCACACTTCGATTCAGAAAAAGCAATATGCACCGGCGGGGGGACCAACAGTCATTATTCTTCAGAAATGAGAGTTCAACAACAACAACAACAAAAACAACAACAACAACAACAACAACAACAACAACAACAACAACAACAATTACTAGCACGTGGGGACACTCCGTTCTCACCAGTGCCAGGGTTTTCATAGGAGGCGGGCAATACCCCCACTTTGTGGGGGGGCCGGTTCAAGCTCTACCAAATTTCCAAACGACTCTTCGCCACCACCCACACCCAGCTTCCCGCCCTATGACGTTCGGACACTTCACTTCGTGGCATGCGGACGACCGTGGCTACTATTCAGGGCCCCGCGGCCGACGACGACGGCGTGCGCGCGCGAAGAAAAAACGAATGTGTCCCGCATGGTATTATTTGACAGGGATGATGGCCCTGGCAGGTGCGCAACCGTTGTCGCAGAAGTTCGAAAAAGTTGCTCGCAAAAGCCCGTTTGACAGAAATGTTTAAAAAGTGTTGGGTTTCCTACGAATCCGCAAGAGCGCGCGGGATGAGATTTTGACAATTTTTTGTTGAAAAACCATTGGTTTTTTGATGTTTTTATGTTAAAATCGCTGCGAACACTAAGGTTTTGGAAGGATTTCGTCTTGCGCGCGCGAATGTCCACTTTACCTTATTTTTTGCAAGGGATTCTTGAAATTTGATTATATTAGAACAAGAAATGTCATTTTCTATTGTTTTTTGCAAGGGAAAGCGGATTACAACAAAACAACCGGATCCTGTACACACCCTCTTTTCTGAGGCTTCCTCACGAAAATGATGAAAATGTAGCTGCGGCCTAGGCGGCGCAGGGGGGGCGCGCACCAGGGGGCCCAACAATAATTATTCTTTAGAATAAATAATGTTCAACAACAACAACAACAACAACAACAGCAACAGCAACATAATCAACAACAACAACAACAACACCAACAACACCAACAACAACACCAACAACAGCAACAGCAACAGCAACAGCAACACAACCACCAACAACAACACCAACAACATCACCAACAGCAACAATAACACCACCATCAACCAAAAAACAACGACAACAACAACAAGACCAACAACCACAACACTCGTTTCAAACTGTTCGCCCTTATCTGCTCGAGTGCCCAAGATCGCGTATTTGCCGAACCCTCCATACCCACCCTCTTCGTCTTCGATTGAACCCCTTTTGGGGGGTATACCTTTCTTCCCTGCAGGCCGGGCCCCCGCAAGCGGCGGGGCGGCCGCGGACCGTCGGCCTGGCCAGCGGCAGCGATGATCGGCGGGGCGGCCGCGGACCGTCGACCCGACCCCAAGAGGGACGGACAGGGGACCGACCACGACGACGACGACGACGACGTCGACGACGACGGCGACGACGACGACGACGACGACAACGGCGACGACGACGACGAGCGAAAGCGAGAGCGAGAGAGAACGACAGCAGGGCCACGAAGGACACGAAGTAGGCCACGAAGGGCGACAGCGGGGACAACAAGGGAATGCGTTTGGGGCCACGAAGAGCGCGAACGAGCGGGGGCCACGAAGGGCATACGTATACTGGGCCGCGGAGGGCAAGGACGGGGCCACTGAGGGCAGCAACGGGGCCACGAAGGGCAGCGAGGGGGCCACGAAGGGCGACAGCGGGGCCACGAAGGGCAGGAAGGGGGCCACGAAGGGCGACAACGGGGCCACTGAGGGCATGCGCATGGGGCCACGACGGGCGCGAACGATCGGGGGCCACGAAGGGCAGATCAAGCGGGGCCACAGAGGGCAACGACGGGGCCACTGAAGGAAGCAACTGGGCCACGCGAGCGGGGGCCACGAAGGGCATACGTATACTGGGCCGCGGAGGGCAAGGACTGGGCCACTGAGGACAACAACGAGGCCACGAAGGGCAGCGAGGGGGCCACAAAAGGGCGACAGCGGGGCCACGAAGGGCATGCATATGGGGCCACCACTGGCGCGAACGAGCGGAGGCCACGAAGGGCATACATATATGGGGCCACGAAAAGCAGCGAGGGGCCCACGAAAGGCAGCGAGGGGGCCGCGAAGGGCTGCAACGGGGCCACGAAAGGGCTGCGACGGGGCCACGAAGGGCAGCGAGGGGGCCACGAAGGGCTACAACAGGGCCACGAAACAAAGCGAGAGGGCCACGAAGGGCTGCAACGGGGCCTCGAAGGGCAGCGAGGAGGCCACGAGGGGCTGCAACGGGGCCGCGAAGGGCAGCGAGGGGGCCACGAACGGCTCCAACGGGGCCACGAAACAAAGCGAGGGGGCCACGAAGGGCTACAACGGGGCCACGAAGGGCAACGAGATCCCGATTCTTGGGTAACCTGTGAAGGAATCCTAAACGTGAGCGCGACTCCGGGTGCCTGGGCGTCGGGATTGCGGCGCTTGAATACATGGCAAGAATTTCCTACGCAAGGGCGCTATTCTTCAGCAAATTGCAAGCAAGTCTCCAGCGAGAGCGCGACTCCAGAGCGTCGGGAGAACGATTCCTGAATAAATTGTAAGGCGGTCCCAAGCAATAGCGCGATTCCTGAATAAAATGCGAGGATGTCTCGGGCGGGAGAGGGGGTCCTGGCTCAATTGTAAGGAAGTCTCAAGCGGGAGTTGTTGTAACCCGGGAGCCAGGGGCCCAGTTTCAAATGCAAGGAAGTCTCGGGCGGGAGCGGGGTCCTGGCTAAATTGTGAGGACGTCTCAAGCGGGAGCCGTTGTTGTTGTATCCCGGGGGCCGACGACATAGTTTGACCCCCAAGACTTCCCCTGTCAAAAAACCTGGAAGGGGCACTTCAATCGAGAAAAAGCAATGTGCACCGGACGGTGGGGAACGACAATAATTATTCTTCAGGAATGAGAGTTCAACAACAGCAACAACAACAGCACCAGCACCAGCGCAACAACAACAACAACAACAACAACAACAGTAAACATAGCAACAAGAGCAGCAAACCAACACCAACATCAGCACCACCACCACCAACAACAACAGCAACACCGACACCAACAATCAGTTTAAGACTGTTCGCTCTGACCTGTTCGACTGTCATCCAACGCGTATTTCCCAAACCCTCGATACCCGCCCTCTTCGTCTTCGATCGTACCCCTTTTGGTGGGTATATATTTCTTCCCTGCCTTCCCTGCAGGCCAAGCCTTGTGAAGCCTTGTGAAGCCGCGGACTGTCGGCCTGGTAAGCGGCAACGCTGATCGGCGGAAGCTCGGCCCCAAGAGGGACGGACAGGGGACCGACCACGACGACGACGACGACCACGACGACGACGACGACGACGACGACGGCGGCGACGACGATGAGCGAGAGCGAGAGCGACAGCGGGGCCACCAAGTGCAGGATGGGGGCCACGAAGGGCTGCAGCGGGGCCACGCAGGGCTGCAGCGGGGCTGCT